GGAGGACACCGGAGAGGAGGCGCGTGTGCACCGGGGAGGGGGGGGGAGCAGGAGGGAGGGCGGGGGGAGGGCTGCGGGGAGTGACAGCCCGGGAGCAGCCCGAGGCCGCAGCCGCCCGCCCCGGCTCACATTTCAGTGGAAAGATGCGGGAGCCACGGCTCCCACACCGCCATGTTGCGCCCTGGGGCTCCCCGGCTCCCCTCCCGGCTGCTGCTTTTCTCCCTGTATGTGCTGAGAGGCACAGGGCCGAGCACCGCCGAGCCAGGCCGGGTGCAGGAAGAGGGACGTGGAGGTGCCCCGGGGTGCGGGGGTGGCAGAGAACTCCCCAGAAAGGAGCCCCAAAGCCAGAGGTCACGGGGGGGGGGAGGGAACCGTCAAGGGGTGCATGCTCCTGAGAAGGGTTTGGGGGGGAGCAGAGAGCCCAGCGGAGGCTGGACTACCGGGAGTGGAAGGCAGCGTCTCTGGGCCCTCCACGGGCTCTGAGCCCTGGATCCCCTCCGACCCAGCCTGCCCCCCCCGCTGGCCCCAGCCCAGCTGGACCCGTCGGCCAGGGCAGGGCTACTGTGCGCCTCTCCACTGCTCACCCTGCCCAGATGCCCCGTCCCGTCCTCCCCTCCCGTCCTCCCCCCAGGTGGCCCCGGCTAGCCCACGCTGGGCCTCCCTTGTGAGGCTCCGGCCGCGTCCTGGGACGGTGGCCACGCTGGGGCCCCCGAGCCGCGCGGGCCGTGGCCTCTGCCCCGGGGGTGTGGAGCAGCGTGGGTGGAGGGACCTCCAGACGGGTCAGGGTGAGCGTGTGTGTGTGCGCACGTGCGCGAGCTCGCGGGCCTGCCGCCGGTCCATGTCCGTGGACACCGACACAGCTGTCTTCCTCGGGCGTCCTTGCTGACAGCCCGGACGCGGGAAGGACATTCATCCTGACCGGCCGCCGCCGCCTGTTGTCTGGAGCCTTTCTCCAGGGCGCCATGAGCTGAGCCGGAGGCTACTGTGGGGGGGTGGCGGGGGGGGACAGGGGTGGGAGGCGGCGGGGGCAGGAGGAAGGGGTAGAGGGGCAGGGCGGGAGGAAGGGGTCAGAAGGTCCGAAGGTCCAGGCCACACTGGGCAGGCCGGGCACCGGACAGCCTCTCCCCAGGCTCCTCATTTCAGGCAGACGCTCCAGGGAGGCCTCTGGCCGGAGCCCTGCCCCGTCCCCCTCCCAGGGCTCCTGGATCCCCTCATCAGGTCCTGGACTCCCCGCCCACTGGAAGGGACTGGAAAATAACCAACACAAAGCCGGCCGGAGGCATGGCTCGAGCGGCAGAGCTCCTGCCTAGAATGCAAGGCCAAATTCGGTCCCCTAGGACGAACAAAAAATAATAAGTAAAACTCTGAAGGCGTGGCTGGGAACGTGGCCTTGGAGAGGAAACAAAGAAAGCACAATTCATAAGCTGAATTATAGGAGTCTTTATTGTAGAGGCCGGGGTATGGGCCTCCCAAATCTTGCTGCCCGGGCCAGCTCGGAGCTGGTCTTCTCAAGATAAAAGCCACGGGCCTTCAAGGTGACGGTGCCTCCCCGTCTTGTGTGGCAGTACAGAAGCGAGAACCGGCGCGGTGAGCAGGCCCGGGCGGACGGAGCATCTTGGGGGTTTTCACAGCACCGGCTTGAACAAAACAACCTATGGCTTTTTACAGCCCTCTGAGCGGACGACAGCTCTGGGGCGGGGGCCTCTCTCTTTGGGTGAACGGCTTTACTTCTGTCAGGCCTTCAACTTAAGGACAGAACCTGCTTCGGCCTAGCACTCACGAAGCCCGGGGTTCGATTCCTCAGCACCACAGGAAAAGCTGGACGTGCGCTGTGGCTCAAGTGGTAGAGCGCTCGCCTTGAGCCAAAGAAGCTCAGGGTCAGCGCCCAGGCCCTGAGTTCAAGCACCAGGACTGGCATGAAAGAAAAAGAAAGGAAAGGAGGGGTGGACCGGCTCTGGCGGGGGGGGGGGGTACTGGACAACCGAGCCTCGTGGGCTCCCGTGTCCGAGGGGGAGACAGAGGCCAGGTGTGGAAGAGGCCGCGGCCGTACCGGCCTGGCGCCGGGGGTGGAGGGAGGGGGAGGAGGCCGGGCCAGGGCCGGGCTCTGTCCTTCCTAGCTGCCCGTCTGGGCTGCGGTCGGCGTAAAGCGAGGGCGCGTGTGGGGTACGAACCGCTCACGTGGGTGGCTCCCGGCCCGCCCCACGGGCACACCTGTGTTTCCGGCATTAGCCGGCAGATGCCAAGGCGCCGGCGGCCTGGGAAGCTCCTCCTCGGCCCCCGCGGCCTCCCCGCTCTGTTCTTGGGCTGCATCTTCCTGGGGTTCTCTGTCCCAGATTCCTCTGCGTGCGTGAACGGCCCGCCGGGGTTCTTCCGGAGAATGTGGGGATCAAAGGGATGGACATCAAAGTGACCCCAGGCCTTGGGGCAGAGCGGGTGCCACAGCTGAGCTGAGACTCTGGGCTCCAGCCTCAGACTCCGCCCGGCCCCCCAGAAGCCGTGGAGAGCTGGGGTTCCCATTGGAGGCCAGGGGTGTGGACCCTGCCCGCCCTGCGGGCGTCCAAGGGCCGTGGGCAGCCACGTGCTCCGGGCGCTCAGGCCCCCCCACACCTGCCCGCCTCCCCTCCTCTCTGTAATCTGGCTCTGTTTCTCCTCTCCCCCCCACCTCCGCCTCCGTCCCGAAAACACACGCCGCCCCCCGCCTGCCCGCAGCCGTGGGCATCCAGATGCAGGTGGACCTCCTCCGGAGCCTGTTCGGGAAGGCCACACAACAGGTAAGGGCTGACGCGGGCCAGGGCAGGGCTGGGGCCCCGCGTCTGCTCCCAGCCCCCACCCGCGCTCCCCCACGCACACGCAGTGCCTGGGCCAGAGCCTCAACGCCCTGCGATGCCCGGCCTCCCGCCCCCAGACCCAAGCCCGGCCCCACGCCCCCAGACCCAAGCCCGGCCCACACACCTGTTCTCAGTGCTCTGAGCCACGGAGGTACGCGCGTGCACACACCCAGGTGGCACTCCCGGCACACGCACACCAGCGGGACCCTGGACGTGTAACACACACACCCGCCACACCCGCCGTGTTCAAAGGCCGCACGCATGCAGCACGCGCGGTTCACCCCACGCACACACTGCGTGTACGCGGGCCCGCACGGCCGCCCGCACGCACCCCGGGCACACGCGGACCGGCGTCCCGGCGTGCGGGCACACGCGTGCGTGCGTGTGGGCAGACGCCAACCGTCCCCACTCCTCCCCCGCAGTGCGGCGCTGTGGACCGACCCTGCCCGGAGAGCTGCGAGGACGGCGTGTGTGCTTCCCGCGGGGCGGGGGGGGGACCGGGCC